TCATTTAAATCCCAGATCAAAGAGGTTTCTAGAATTCCCTTCTTTCATCTGAGGAATATTGCAAAGCCCCGAAGCGCGTGTTGAGGCGTGATTCATTTAGGGGAGGGGCCAAAATTCATGACGTCCAAGGCCTCGCTACCGTGATACCACGTGACCGCTTCGCGAAGTGGTTCGAGTTTTGACAGGCATCTAAACAGGAATATGCTACATTTTGGGATTATAGGTACTTGTGGGGACCAAGGGCTGGAGGAAATGTTGTCTTCTTGGGTTGAGGGTTAGACTTTGGACTTATGTCAGGGTTAGTTATGTGTTGGTGATGGTTAGCGTTAAACCACAGAGGGGAGTGGGAAATGAATAGAAGTCAAAGGAAAGTCCCCATAAGGATACTGTGTCACAATGTGTGTGTAGCTGTATACATTAAAACTTGTGTTGCTGTTTCATGCCTCACATCCGCATGTATCCAGTAAAGACCAGAGTGCTGTTGGCTGTGGCCTCTATGGTGAAGACCATGTTGTCAAACATGGTGAACTTGCTGATATCCGCCTGCCGCTGGCTGACAGCCGCTTGGAAGAACCATTTCCCCAGATACTAAAACAGAAACACAGACAGCAGCAGCGTGGGGGGGTGGCACACACCACAACAGAAGATTATTAAAGATAGAAGCCAACAACTTGCAGCAAAGACCGCTTTATGGAAAGAACAGAGGTGGAAAGTTCCCCTCTGAGGTAACATATGTCAGTAAATATCAGTGAGAGGCTCCAGTTAGTGGATCCTCGCTGGTCTCATTCGGTTCTCACCTGGTGCTGATCTACAGAGCTCACAGGCAGCTGCTCAGGATGCATGCAGGGAGCAAAAATCGGATAAACCAGGGAGGAAAGATGCAGAAAATATGACAAAGCTTCAGCTAACATGGCTGCAGAGGGAAGCGCTATGTTCTGGTTGCCAGGACGCCTGAGGACACTTTCTGACTTTATGCAACGTTGGAGCAGGTAAATTAAACAGAGTGGGTGTGGGTAATTCATTAACCACTATTCTGCTGTCAGGAATAACCACCATCTGGGGGGGAGAGGAGGTTCCATGCATCCTCTGATCAAAGACGGAAGGTTCCAGATTAAATCCTTTCAATTAAACTTTCACTAGATCCGATTAGCTGAATTAAAATCCACTTATAGAGAGAGGCTTGCTGAGTGAAGCGGGTTGATGTGGGAGGCTGTGGTTTATCTCACCGACAACAGCCTGCTTAAAGGAAAACATCAGCAGCCAGAAACAGGCGGTCAATAAGCTGCCAATCATTAACTACCATGTTTAAAGGTTCCCTTCGTCACACAGAAGGAACACGGTTTTATTTGCTCCGTCCCCCAAAAACAGTGATGATGAATAAATGAAACAATTAAAAGAGAAAATGGTTTTCTGTCATTTTGACTTCCTATTAATTTAAACTGATATTATGTAAGTTTTTATCGTTAAAACATCTGGCACACATCTGTGTGACTGGTTTG